ATATATATATATATATATATATATATTTGAATCCAACAAGCTTGGTCAGTTCAGCCGACCAAGCGATTATATGAACTTCTTATTAGTTGGATAGTAACTGTTGGAACAGCACAGAGGGTCTTACACGGGACTGATACGAATACATAATACGGAGGCACTTGAGCTTTGTGTGAACAAAGTCACTAGCCACCATGCTGGACACTTTCTGATCCGAAAATGACATTTTTTGCGCCTCAACTAGCCATACGTGACCGCAGTCGTAAGCAATGCATTGCGCAAGTTTAACGATGAGTAACTGAGGAAAGTCTACAACCACAATCCACATCGACGGTGGGGCGAAATGCTATTATAAAGGTGACACCATCAAAGGGTATAATAGAAAATTGGTAGCCAACACATCACAATACCAGCCCGGGAAACAAGACTGAGTTGCAATCTGTGTGGACGTTACCGACGGTTGTTAACCCTGGGTAGTTGAGATCTGAGAACTCATCAGTCATTCACAAGTGATCACATATGACCAATTTTTGAGGCATGCGTGTCGATTTGTTGAACAGTTTGCGTGAGTTTGGTGGTTCCTGCGGTTACAGTCGCATGTTATCGACAAAGAAAAATGAAAATCGAAATAGAACCGATGAAGTACGGAAGAGTACGGGAAGAGCACATTTTAGAAGTGAATACGAAGACACCACTGACTGGACCGATTTGATCACGTCAGCGAAAGCTTAAAACCACCACCGACTTCAGGATCAATAGATGTGTTACGCCAGTAGGTAGGTACTAACCAGTTTACACTACTGCAGGGAAATATAATAATCTCCCAGAGGAAAGAGCATCAAAAAAGAAAAGGCCTTTACATGGGAATGAACTCCCAACGAGCGGCTTTTACACTAAATGAAGGCCGGTAAGGAACACTACTGTAGCCGCTCTTCAAATCAGTTTAACTAGACGTTGGTTCTGGACAGCTGGATTATGGTGTTTCGGTGCTGAGAAGTTGCGAGCGCCCCAAACAAATTAGGAACCAGTTGAGGGAAACCATTTATACACACTGCTGTCGCAAAAGAGTGAATGATTTCTAGAAAGTGGTCGAGTCTGTTTCGAAAATTTCTGGCTTGAAGCCTATGCTTCACAGGATAAAGTGGCTCGATAAAAGCGCGAGTCTAACTGATCTTGAGGAAGTAAGGTGTTTGAAGGAAGTATTACAGTATGGGGAAACTCTGCAGTCACACGTGCAGTGATACATATCATTAATCGATTCTGAGAACAGGAATCCTATTGAAATCGGTAATCACAGAATGTACCAGCACTTTACAAAACCGACGACTGCGAACACAGTGTAAGCAAACATACGTGATTTATACAACCTACACGGAATTTGTGTGCAAACTTTTTCCACTAGAGAAAAAAACAGCTAAGCCATATTCGACGGTATCAAAAGCCGGGTGAAAAAGAGAAACGAAATCAATTAGACTGATATTGATTCGAAACACAACTGATTTGTCCAAATCGAGATAGGAAACGCGCAAGGCGCATTAGTAAAAGATAAACAAGAGTTCCGGTAAGTTATGTGGCGGAAGGCACATAAAGACCTCACGGAGAGTCGACGATGTTGGTTGTTGATTAGGTGGCTGTTGATCTGCTCGCAAATGACATGAAAACTTCCCCAAACAAGACATCATCAGTGCGCGCATGGTCTAATCATAATACACAACAAAAGTCTAATATAACGAGTGGGAATACGATAGTGAGCAATCAAAACCACCGTTGTTAATAAAAACTCGGAATGTATCAAAATTACCAGGGAATAAATATTTCCTGAAGAGTAAACTGAACCCCATTAGACAGCTTTTTAGTTAACTTTCTTAGTTATTACACCTGCTCGGTGAGTAGTCGTTCTGTAGACCATAGAATGAAAGTGGGCGGGAGTGCCTTAGGTTTGTTCAAGCCTATACAAAAGCACTCAAAAACTAGGCTGGCGTTCGACCCAGGGAACTCTCAGCCAATGCATCGTGCCTCAACAATCGGAGGCTTCAAACACACTACAATCCAACAGAGTATTATGTTGCCAGGTTGGATGAAATTAACTTGGAGGGATCATGGTGGTGGTGCGCGAGTACGGTGCTAATACACTGCACAAAAAGGTAACGAACCCGCTGACTTTGACTCAACTGACACAAAAAGCTCGTTAGTCTAAAGCTGATTACCAAAGTGACCAACTGCAATTCTCACGCCACGTTGTTCAAGCCACTATAATAATAATAATAATAATAANATAATAATAATAATAATAATAATAATAATAATAATAATAATCGTTGGGCTGTAACACTCTTTCGGTGCCTAGCTGCAAGCCACCCGATGGAAGCACGAGGGCCGGGATACTGTCAGGCTGCCCAAGCCTACACAAGGAAAGTCAAGATGTAGAGGTCGGGTTCGAACAACATACCTTCCGGTCAGTAAATTCGCGCTCTAATCACTAAGCCATCTCGCCTCCAAGCCACCATAACATGAAGTACTTCCGCCAAAGGATCACATCAAAAAAGTGGCCGAACTGCCTGCATTTGAAACTCGAATGTATCTGCTTGCCCGTTTCTCATATGACCTTATACGTGCCCCTCCCTTTCTCTCTTCCCCCATTGCAGGTACCACGGACGAATCACCACGGGCCCTGGACAGGGAAGAGTACCCCGCTTGTACACCCCCTAACTGACCTTGACCCGACCCTGTACACACCCCCCGCTTCCGGTTTCGGTTTCGCTCA